TGTGTTCCTGAGCTCTGGAACCAAGACACGGCATTGAAATTACAGTCAGGGTGTCACTTTTGAATACAAGGATGACAGATTTCCCAAAAGATTGAAAAATGTATGGCAGAAAAATCCTTGTTTCATTTAGAAAGTGGAAATTACTCTTTATATCTTTGGAGAATTATGCTGTTATAAATCTTTGAAGATGTCAGGGTAAACAGAGTTTGATTAATTTTTCACAGAATACTGCAGTTTTAGCTAGAGGTTACACTGCTATTAAAATTACAGCTTTTGTCATCCTCAAAATTCAGGTGGTTTTAAAATATGTTCTCTTTAACCATGAAAGTAGATAAATTGCTTGCTATGAGTAGTGTGTTTCTGATTAAAAGAGAACTTTTACTGGAAAAAAATGGATTTTGAACTTATGAAGTGATAAAAGATTGAAATACTTTTTTATTTGTTTATTACACATAATAAAATTACTGTAATTTCAAAAGGAACATTTGAGGAAAAAGTTAGAATTTTGACTTCCATTATCTGTGTATGTTCTCTATAGTTCAGTTCCTGGTTTTCTAATAGCAAGGTCATCTTCAGGGTGACCAGCTATCTGTGTCTAAGAAGAAAAGTGCATTGAAGTTAGTGCAATTAAAACTTCACAGTTCAAACTTCGACTTTTCAGAGATAAAGAGCAATTCACTTTATGGCTATTTCACTTCAGTGTGGGTGTCTGAGCATGGGCAATAAAATGAAAGGTTTGATTGTGCCTGTGTTTGCCCTAAGTTATTTTCAACATTAGGCTTTACAGGTAAGTCAATCAGAAAGCTCTCCTGCATAGCAACTTTATGCTGTTTCTCAAAAACTGTACAGTATGCCAGTCACAGCACTCTCGCTAATGACTGCCACAGTTCAGGAATTCACACAGTCACTATGCCGCTATTAGTATCTGTACTGTGCACGTGCAAACCTCTCCATTCTCATTGGTTATTAGATCCCTTCTGCTCTCATTGGCTTCTGTATGCTGAATTTTCAAGCTGTTTGCCAGCGAGAAAGATGCCAGCTAAAGCAGAAAATCTCCAAAATTCACATTAGCAACCTTTGGTTCATTTCTCTTTCTTCCATCTTACTCTTTGCACTTGTTTTTCAACAGATAATTCAAGATAGGCTGTAAAATAGGCTCAAATCACTGCAGCAAAATATTTTATTTAAAAGAAAATTAGGCCCACATCCACAAACCAACTTAGGCATTGGGACACTGAGCATCGCAATGCCTAACTTTTAGGCAGCTAGAAAATTACAGCAACACTGTGATCCTCAAAGCCTGCGTTAGGCACTTAAGCTCCCTCTACAATGAATGGGGAGAGAGGTGCATTAGAATGCAATCCACAAAAGCCAGAATGCTAGGTGAGGAGCTGCTTAAATTAGCTAGAGGGAGATGCTGATGAGAGGGGTTTGTCCTACCGCACCCATTCACAGAGTTTAGTGCCTAAGTCCAGGCTGCAGGAAGGCAGAGCTGTGAACCCCTCTCCTGGAGTCTGGTTACTTAGGTACCTAAGTTGTTTCTTGTGAGAATGAGACACTTGCCTCACTCCACACAAAACAGCCTGAAGAGCAGTGATGGTGCTTATCTTATAACTCTTAGCTCAGTGGTTAGAGCATTTACCTGGAATGTGAGACGTGCCAGTTCAATTTCTCCACTGGCCTGAGGGGAAAAGGAGATTTGAACAGGGATCTTCTATCTTAGTCTCTCCCGTTGAAGCTGTTCGACTGTGGATAAATAATTAGAGAGCCTTTGGAGCAGGGGGACCGGACCCAGGGTTTCCCACCTCCCAGGTGGGTCCTAACCACCACGCTACAGACTCATTCACTCTCTCTGACCCAGTGACTCTTATCCACAGTGCAAGTGCTTCCTCAGGAGAGACTGAGGCAGCTGCACATCAGAATATCCCATAGGTCAGTGGTTAGAGCACTCTCCTGAGAGAGTGGAGGCCCCTGTTCAAATCCTTTCTTCCCCTCAGGCCCAGGGGGGTAATTGAACCTGCATCCCAGGTGTGTGCTAACCACTGGGCTAAAAGTTATAAGGCTACTACCCCACTCGCCAAGAACGTGAATGGGACCCAATCCAGTAGGCAGCCGCTAAGCATGCCTACTTGATCAGGTCCAGCAGGTGAGATAAGTGTTTGCCTGCCTATCTTCCTCTGCTTAGTGGATCACTCTGGGACTTAGTCTGGAGGCTCATCTCCCACCTATCAGAGGGAGGCAGCAATGCATATGCTCAGAGGCAGAAACTTAGGCACCTAGAGAATTAGTGTTTGGCAGGAGTTTTGTGAATCACAGTAGAGTCTAAAACTTGAATTCAGCTGCCTAAATCCCAAATTTAGGCACCTAAATCTGAGGTTTAGGCTGCTTAAATTAATCCCACCCTTAATTCCTGTCCACAAGAAGAAGAAATAAAGCTAAATCAGCAGCCTGAAGTAAGTGGTTTTGTTCACACCTCTAAGCTGTCAGGAAGGTGCCTCTCCATGTAGCACAGGGTAAAGTGACTTATTTGTAGAGCCCTGCACGGCTACAAAGTTTATATCCGCAGATGGGGATATCCACATCTGTGGAAGTAAATTTTGTGTCTGTGCAGTGGTCTGTTTACTTGGTGTTGTCAGCTGAAGAGTGTCTGCTTGCATGTTAATTAGAAAAGACAATCACTGGTACACAACTAGAAAACAAGGGTAAAATACTGGCCCCATTAAAGTCAATGGGAGGTTTGGCTGTTGACTTCAATGGAGCCAGAGTTTCACTGCAAATATATGTAAGAACATGTGGGTCATATAGCTGGAGAACTGCTAATGGCCATGAAATTTCACCATAGATTTAAAAAGAGTCAACTGAGGGCATCATCAGATCGCATCACCACTCATGATTTACTGAAAAGTAAATTCAGTTCTATTGTCTTGCAATCTGTCAAACTGTTATGTTTTAAGGCTTCTGGTTATGGTTTGTTTTATTTATGATCACTCTTTCTCAGCATCAATTTTCTTGTGGAAGTTATTTTTCATCTAACTTTATTTTTAACAACAAAAACAAATTAAATTACAAGGTGTGAAGAACACACCAGAGATTAAACAATGGTGTGAACATCAGGGCTGCTGTCCCTACTTATGGAGAAAGTGCCTTGAGATCTTTAAAGTAATGCCAGTAAGGACTCTTGTTTTGTATCTCATCCCAAAGATGGAACAGCTAACTGCACAGAGTTCCCACCACTGTGCTGGGGCAATGGTTCAATACTTGCTGAGAGGGAAGAGCATTATATGCTGAGCCGCCACACCACTTCTTACAGCACGGTGCCTTTTCTTTGACGCTTTCCATTCAAATCCAGACTAACCATAAAAGTTCTTAAATTATAATATCTGACAAGTTCAGATGGCTGCCAGGCTACTACGGCTTTCCAACGTGCGTTGACGCTTTGTACAGGATAAAAGCAGACACATTTCTATACCTTTTAAAGTACTGGTATCAGCAGTAAAGTTAAATCTTTCTTGGAGGCAGTTTCAAAACTAAGCTATTCAAATCCATGTTTGTTTATGTGCTTCTGAACATTGGCACTCTATCTACTGTAGACTCAAGTTTTTAAATCATACTTGATCATCCTAATGTAACAAGCTGCAGACAGACACTATAGGAATGCCATGTGCTGGGGGTTCTTGGTTCTTGAGCTGTCCTAGGGGTTACTACCATTATACTGATGGTAGTGTCTCTGTGTATACAACTGTTCCACTCCTCCTATGTAACTGTTGTGAGTGCACATACAACCGTGTGTGTTTGTGGGCAACCTCAGAAGACATGCACTATTTTTATACTCTTTACTGTTGCATTTGGAATGGAGGAAGGAGATAGGTGCAGTACAATAATATTTGGCATTTCTACAGCTTTCAAAGATCTGTAGCATCCAGGAATCTCACTGCAGGTTATAAACATTAATGAATTAAGCCCCACCCACCCCCAACCCCTGTAGTTAAAGGAGGCGGTAGCTAGGAATTTACTGCATTCAGACACTTAAGAGCCTTTGGGAGGGTTATATGAACACAGTCCTCAAAACAAAAGAACATTAATTCCTCAGTGTCTGTCTTCAAGAACAACTTCTGATAGTGTTTTCTTTTCCAAGGCTGTCGTTCGATTTATTTCAGGGACGGTCAGAAAGTTTTCAAGTTCGGAATCTATTTTCTTTTTTGTTACTCTGCGTTACGCTTTGTGGTAAAAGCATTTGGGTGTTCAGAGCCACTAAGCACCCACAACTTTGTTTGAAGTCAGTGGGAGCCGTGAATGTTCAGCACTTCACCAAGTACAGGGATTGTTCATACTTGTGGTAAGGGGAAAGGTTCCTCGGAAGACCTCTCACAACCTTTTCTCCCCGATTTCTACTTAGGTTAGCGTCTGGCTAGCCCTTTACATGTAAAGAAGCCAGGAATTCTAGAATCCAAACATTATAAAGTTACATTGTATTACATTTTCCTGTGTATCAATTATCAATTTATGACTGATTCATAACCTGCTGGATCTTAGTATTTGTCTGGTGTACTATTTGTTGTTTTTCTCTATTTCTTTCATTGGTTTATATGTAAAGAGGCAGTAATATAGGCTGGTAGTTAAAGGAGGTAGCTAGGAGTCAGAACTGGCAAGTTCTAGGCTATCAAATCATCATGTGATCTTGAGCAGATTACTTAACCTTCCTGTATCTCCGTTTACCCATCTGCACCAATAATATATGCCAGTCTTACGGGGATGGGGCTTAATTCATTAATGTTTATAACCTGCTCTGAGATCCTTGGATGCTACAGATCTTTGAATGCTGTAGAAATGCCAAATATTATTGTACTGCACCTATCTCCTTCCTCCATTTAATACAGGAAATACTTGCATTATCAGTTAAGGCTGTAGATTAGCAGTTAAACTCCTGTCTCTTTTCTTCTCCTTCCTTGCTTTGCTGTGCAAACTCTTCCTAATATTGTTTATGTGGTTCTCTTTTCCAGCTCTGTTTTTTGATGTTTTGGACTCCGAATGCATCAGAGAAGATTTTAGTTGACATAATTGGAGTCGATTTTGCCTTTGCAGAACTGTGTGTCATTCCTTTGCGCATCTTCTCCTTTTTCCCAGTTCCAGGTAAAAATACAGACCAGTTGACATTAGGGCTGAATGTGGCTGAAGGTATAAATGTTGTAGTGAGGGTCTGTCACTAGACAGACAAATTTAGCATACATATATTTCTTAAATGGACTCAGTGGGAAAACTAAAAGCGGACATGTATCTGTTCTAGGTGCCTGAGCATGTGCATTGTGCACTGTGTGTTTCTGCCCAACTGTAATTAACTGTGTGTTTGTGCAACATGTTGGACAACTACACAATATGAACACACCTTGATACTGAACAGGGCCAACAAACAATAAAACTGAATGCTCTCCTTCATATTATATGGATGTTTATTACACTACTAGCCAAAATATTTCCCTCAAATATTAAAATGCTGATGCAAATATTATAACCTACATGTGTTACTGCTACATTGTATAGAGTCTTCCAATGGATCAATATATATCTAAGAGCACAGCTCCGTAAGGATTATGGTCTCCAAATATGAAGTTCTGTTTCAGGGGGGTCTGTTCCTCACTTGACACATATAGGTATCCTTTCTTCCTGACCTTAAAAGGGGTTATGCATTTTTAATGAAGAGAATGCACCTACCATATGGAAGAGAAGTTTAAGATTTATTTGTATTACTGTCACACACACATTTTTATTTTAATGGAGTCAAACTATCTTATTGTAAAATGTTTTTGGCAGGACAGTTCACACTGAGGGAAGTTTGCTGTACCTCTGACTGCTTTTTGCACAATTAAAAGCACTAAAACAATTCTGGACTTCCAGTCTAGTTTGCAGTTAAGACAATTTCACTGTAGATAAAGCAACTGTAAACAAGGGCCATGGTGTTTGTATTTTTTATGCTAAACACTAAATAAATAGTATTTATAATAATAATACCTTGCTCTTCAATAGCGCTTTTCACCAGTAGATCTCAAAGCACTTTACAAAGAAGGTCAGTTCATTATTAACATGAAAAAACACGCTCTCTTCCTTCATTTTCCACTGCATATTTTGATGGTTTTTTCTTCCTTTTTTCTGACAGTGACAGTTAGAGCACACTTGACTGGCTGGCTCATGACACTAAAGAAGACATTTGTATTGGCACCCAGCTCTGTGCTGCGCATCATCGTCCTCATCACTAGTCTCATTGTGCTGCCTTACTTAGGGTAAATTACTCCACTCACCACAGCTCTAATGGAGCCACTCTCCTTTTCCCCCCTATTTCGTTTAGTCATAGAATATCAGGGTTGGAAGGGACCTCAGGAGGTCATCTAGTCCAACCCCCTGCTCAAAGCAGGACCAATCCCCAGCTAAATCCCCAAATGGCCCCCTCAAGGATTAAACTCACAACCCTGGGGTTAGCAGGCCAGTGCTCATACCACTGAACTATCCCTCCCCCCTTATTTAACTCTTCGTCTTTCCACCAAAGGCAGAGACTAAAATAGAACCAAAATAGTTCAAACTCCTGTAAATGATCACTTCCAAAGTTCCAGCCACATCCCGTCTCTAGCTAGGCATGAAACTATTGGCCCTTGTTGAAAATTCTACAGATGTTAATAGAAATGAAACCAATACCCACAGGATGCTATGAAAACTTATTAGAATTATACAGAAATTACTTTTCTGAAAAATCTATGCAATAGGTATATAGGGAATGGTATCTTTTCTGTAGACTTCTTTTAAAAAACAAACAAACCTGTTATTGTCTACAACAGAACTATTATTCTCAATTAAATTCTATATTTAGATTGCCTTGGGGCAGAATTTGATTCACAATGGGTCTCCTCTCGTTTTCGGGCAATACAAGATTATAGTAAATAATGAAACTATTTAGGAAGCAAACGTTACTATAATATATCAGTTATTCTCTCTACCAGTGCCTAGATTTTTGCCCCAGAGAATATTAAATACCTGTCACATTATGCCTTGTGTAGAAATTGTTCATTAAAATACATTGGTTCAGTATTTTACTGAAAGTATAATTTTCTATTTTTATTTTTGTTTTAAATCCTACCTTTTTCTTTTTGCCATTCTCAGGGTCCATGGAGCCACCCTAGGAGTAGGATCACTTCTAGCTGGTTTTGTAGGAGAATCTACCATGGTTGCAATAGCAGCTTGCTATGTCTGTCGGAAACAGGTAGGAAACTGGTTGTGTAGACTCTAGTGACCATGACAAACATAGATAACTACTTATGTATGGTGACAAGTTGTGTAGAAAACACAATTTTTGTGTAAAGGCCATGTGGAAGTGAATAAAATATTCACTTAACTGGATGGAGATGGGTTTTCTCCTCCACAGACACAAACACACACACATTCAAAGTACAGCAAGTGAGAAACTTTACTCATGTGGAGTATTCATGCATCTCTCAGTGGCCTCAGTCCTATATAGCCTTATGCTTAACTTAACTCATGTGGCTAGTTCCATTGATTTCAATGAGGACTCACATGAAAAAAGTTATGCATAGGTAGAAATGTTTGCAGGATGAGGGTCAATGGGAATCCCCATGTGAGTATGGTTTCTCACATGCATAAGTGTGTCTGCAGGATTGAACCCTTACAGATATGTTTTCAGGGTACTGCACAAGCTATTTGATGCATAACTCCAGTTGGAAACTGGAGCAAATCTCATTAGCTAAACAGAATTGTGGGGGGAGAGTGTAGAGAAAAGAATCCTTGCTATTGTGGGTTGGTTTGTTTGTTTGTTTTTTAATTTAGAAATTTCCATTAGAGGCAAAAAATCAAAAAGCCCTGCACATTTTTACCACTTCTGCTTTTATCAAAAATTATGAAATCAGAACCTACCTAAAAGCTTTTGAACTACAAGCTCATTGATAGAAGTTAAGAACAGGCTTGAGGCACATCAGCAGAGAAGAGAAATTCGCACCGCCTTACTCAACATGTGGCTAAATAGAGAACTTTGTTTCTCTATAGTTGTTAGTTTATCTTTTTCTTGCTCATTAAAAATAGTACAAAAAATCTTATATCCCAAGCTATTCTTGGCTTGTGGTTTCACAACAAATTTTTGTTTACACTAATATTTTTATTATTTGCATGGTACAATTGTCACATCTCCTGCAGTATTTTTGACCTCCATAATTTTCAGACAAAGTACTTTATTTTTGTAGTATAATGAAGTGGTAACAACTGGATGATCACATTTGCCTGACACGTTAACTATTACATGCTCAGTGAATCTGAAATGATCTCTTCACCAGCCAATGTGGTAATGGCACAATCAACAGTAGTTTTGCATATCAGTTTATTTTCAGCTAAAAGATTCAACATAGGTAAAATGTTTGAGAGTCACAAACTAGTTTTCTGTATACACCGTCCTCGTAGTCTTACTCCGTTAGTATGCCTGATTCAGCTGAATCAATAATATCAGTGGGTTTTGGGGGGAGTTTTACAACTGTTTTCCATAAGGACTGGGCAGCCTGCTGAGAAACAGATAATAAAGAACAGATGCTTCAACTTGATTCGTATTGGGGCTGAGGGCATCTTAGGTTTACTCTCCCAAAACATCCTGCACGAATCATATGACTGTCTTGAAACGACAGACATTAAGCCACATGTGCTCAACAGCAGAATGTTGGGAACACAAGTGGCCTGCCTCATACTGACAATGGCTTCTCCGATCAGTAGTGAGCAGAGAGCTTGAGTCAACAGGTAAACACGCTACAAGGGAACTGGCCTTTGCTTTTGTCACTTTCTCATAGACAATACTAACTAAGTATTCTGAACTAGGACACAGGAATTCTAGGTTCTGTTCCCAGCTGTGCCATTGATTTTGTGAGCTTGGGCCAAGTGAATTAACTTCCTAGTTCTTTAGTTTTCCTCTATGTAAATATACCTTCTGTCTTTGAGAGGAATGTTACTGTACTAGTGGATGTCACTATTTTTACCTCTTGTGCTCCTGACTTGTGACATTTTGGAAGTTAGAACACCACCTTTCACTTTCTGTACATAGTGTTTTCCCTCCAATTATCCTGAAGCACTTGCCTCATAACACCCCTCTAAGACAGAGGCAACAATAATACCTGTGTTTCAGAGAACAAAATGGATCCATGGGGATGTTAAAGGAAGTTTTTTAATTAACATGACAAATCAGTAGCATACCAAGAGTGGAAGCCAGGAATGTTGCATTCTAAACATTAGACCACATTCCTTCTGATAAGGCCTGACATTTGTAGGATTGAACTGCTGCACAATGAACAATATAGATGGTCCTGTGCTTATGAATACAACCTCTTTTTGACCTAGAAAAAGAAGCGGAACGAAAATGAGACAGCGACAGAAGGCGAAGACTCAGTAATGACTGACATGCCACAGATAGAAGAAATGACAGACATCGTAGAAATGAGAGAAGAGAATGAATAATAAACGGGACGTGATTGTTCTCTGCAGGGACACATAGAATGATACTTCAGCATCTTTTCTTCTCTCATACTTTTTTTTGTTTTGTTTTTATTTTTGTAATAGAGGCCTTGATTTAAAAGGCTTCAGATAAATTCTCTAGCATACTGAGTATGCTCACACTAATGAGGGACCTAAAGAAAGGTCTTTGCTTTTGCTTGTTCAATTGAATTTGTTTTCTCGCTCCATGCAAACACAAAAGATATGGCTGCATCACATGAAAGGGCATTTTCCTCAATACGCATCCATCTTCTTTGGACAATCTGCATTTGTCAACCAAAGCCCTGCTGTGTGTCTCTGTGCCATTGACTCTGCTGCCGTCCTTTCTTCCCTCTTTTTTAATTGAGAATTTAAAAAAAAACAAAAAAAAACCAACCTTTGAAAATGCAGCTTTATTTTACTCGCTTGACAATGATTTTGCTATCTAAACTAATGTACCACGGTGGGCCATTATGTTTGTTTTCACTCGTCATTTGGTGTTATGCTGTATATTGTTACAAAACAAGGTAGGAAGGCATGAGCCCCAGTGAGCAAATGGTACATAAAAATAATAAAAGGGATGCGAGAAATACAGGACAAGAATGCTATTTAGCCTTTATTAAGTTATCTGAGATGCAAGATTTTTCCAAAATTGTACACATTTAATTAAGAAGTTTTATAGAACGTTGTTGCCAAGTCTTACACATAGTTTCCTTATTACCAGTTTCCGTTCTCCTTTCCTGAACAGGGTGCAGCAGTTGGTAGAGTGGTGCAGTTGCATCTAAGGGTATATCTACACTGCAATAAAACACCCATGATTGGTCTATATTAGGGCTCCTGGGGTTCGGGCTGTGGAGCTATAAAATTTCAGTGTAGATGTTGGGGCTGGAGCCCAGACTCTGGAACCAAGCCGGAAGATCTGCATTGTAATTTTGTAGCCCCTCAGCCTGACCCCTGCAAGCCCAGTCACCTGACACAGCCAGTCGTGGGTGATTTATTGCAATGTAGACATACCCAAGATTCTTTTCTAAGGGAAGAAAAGAAGAAGAAGAAGAAGAAAAGCTTTACCAAAGTTCTGGTTCACTGGTCTGACATAAGTTCTATGTATAATTAGTTTATACACTACAGTTTGCTATACAATTATTTCTACAATCTGTGTTCAAAAACATACATATAACTTAGAGTACACCATGGTATAGCCCTTTAATACATATAACCCTATTAAATATACAGAGGTATTGCTTTAACCTGTTTCCCTATAAAAGTAAATCAAAATCAGTGTGGGAGAAGTTTGAGTGCCTGCCAGGATGCTGAAGTCCCACATTAGGGATCCAATTCTACAATTCTTGCTCACACCGAGTAACCCTTGTGAGAATAGTTCCATGGGAATGAGGAGAACTGCTCACCACATGAGTAAGTGTTGTACAATGTGAACAAGGTGGGCACTGTTAGGTTTAAGTGAGGCTTAAATAGCACAGAGGGCCTTCACATGAGTGATGTGTATTAGGATGAATTTCATCCTATATGATACATCCTTAAATTATGGATTTTAAATCTTATTTAGTAAAGTATATTTTTGTAAGTTTTAGAAGTGAATTATTATTTAATTATGGACAAATTCAGTTTCTAGATAACTTACCAGCTAGTCCTTACACTTCAAAGAACTGATCAACGCTAAAAACTTATTTTAAAGGCTATATCAATATGTGTATATATACATACATGTGTATAAATATATATATTGTACATTATGTGTAATTTATTTTAGGCTACAGTACACTTCCTATTTTTCCAAGTTCAGTAAAAATGTCTCTGATACAGTCCGATGTTTGCTCATGTATTGGTTATACCAGTAGTGAAACGTATTGTATCAGTGACCATTGCATCTTATTTGCAACGTTTGTACTGTTTGTTATATGTAGTAAGATAAAAAATGAAATTTTGAATGAGTTGCAAAAATCAGTCCATTGCTATTGAAAATAGTGCCACAGGACGGGTGAAATTAAATCCATACGGTTTCAATGCTATCAGGAGGTTTTTCCCACTATTCCTTACAGTAGAAGAAATAAACTCAGACAAATCAACTTTGTGCTGTATGAATACTGTGCACACATAAAAATTCATGAGTACAGACTCTCACAGCCATCTGTATATACCCTGTATATAAATTGATGTAGACCATAGTGACCAGTTCAAGGTCTTCTCTAGTGCCATAGTTTTGCTTTCTCTAGTACATCTGTGTTCAAATTTTCAACATGCAGTTTTTCTGGCAAAAGCAGAGCTAAACTGAGAAAATATTTTATTGTAATGTTTCTTCTGGTACATAACTAGAAATTTAAGCAGCAGTATTTTTGAATATTTGTGAGCGTTAAATATTTATGTAGTTAAAATTCCACAAAAACCAGAAAGTAAAAAAAAAATACTAATATTTAAATGCTAAAGCTTTTTGTTTAGCTAGAAGCATTAGCATATGGCAAATGCCAAATGCTTGGTGATACAACTGGAAGTGTTAAGCTAGTGTAGCAGCTAAGATGAAATTTCAATTGTGGAGAATAAATGTTTAATACTCCTTGTATATTGAATCTGTAAAAATAATCAGTGATCAAGGAACAGCAGGGTTTGAGCAAGATTTCAGATGTTCTTTTATAGCACCAGCTGTGGCTATAGTGTAACAGATTCTGTTTAATCCCATTTCCTGTGTGTTGTGTATTTCCTTAAATTGCATTGTTGCAGTAACAGACATGTTTCTACACTACATGGTTTAAATTAGAACTTCATGAAACAATGGGATATCTAGTCTGTACTGCAATGAACATGTATTAGTTGTACGCGCAATTATATGAAGTTTATGAAAAACACACTCTTCTACCACTCTTTTTGGCATTAATGGGTAAAATTTTCAAAAGTCCGTTAGGCACCAAAGTCTCATTGAAGTCAATAGTGCTTTAAATCATTTCGGCACCTTTGAAAGTTTTACCCGATACCTTTTCCTTTGTAAAAGGACTTTGCTGAATTCAAATAGCCTCCCCTCTGCATGGTTATCTCATTATTAGTACGCTATCACTGTGGCAAACATAAAGTTATCCCCTTGACGGTTTCACTGTAAAGAACCAGGGTACAATATTTTCATGAGTGAACCTGCAGGGGGATACTAGCCTTTTCGTGTATTTGTTGAAAATTGCTAAATTATGGAAATTAAACTATAATACAAGAGGAACAAAACTGATTTGTATTCTGCAGCTCAAGTGTAAGACCAAGTGTGAACATGCATTACATGACTGAAAACGAGATGAGTGCTGATGACTGATTTTTTTTTTAGAGGGGCGTGGATATTTAATATATACACAGGGTTATGCTACTTTGAGCCCTTCCTTTACAGACTCTCTGATACTGAAGGAACATTTGTTACTGCCCGAAGCAGCTTTCTTAGATTTACTGAACAATGGGCTTGATGGAGAAGGCTCTAGGTTTCCTGGCAAGTACATAACAGGGCACCATATGGTTCCCAGTAAACAGCTCAACTTCTCCTTTTCGTGCACAGATGTGCAAGGAAAGATCAGTAAGTTGTCTGCTTGATAGCTAGAGCTCCACACACAGGGTCATAGGATTGGGGGAATAACAGAGGATTATGGGTTTTCTTTTCAGCTTGAGTTAATTTATTTTGCTGTCTTATAAATATTTTCCTTTGAGGAACAGATCTTGCTGTCTGCCTCGGTATTATTTTCTGCTTAGTCATGGCAGCATCTTACAGACACAGAAGGGGTCTAAAATAGGCAGCCGGTTGATGAATGCCAGGAGTGCATGAAAAGAAATGATTGGTTTTAAGGTTATTTGTTAAAATCCAACGTTTTGAAGGGTGGCTTCTGTTGTTTAAACAGTGTGGTGAGATTGCTTTGATTTCTGCTGTGTTAGAGATTTGTGATCCAGTATTTAGAAATGGCCTGTCATTGGTGATGGGAGGCAATTTAAGCTGGCTAGCACTGTTTAGGCCAGAATGTACTATTGTATCATTGGCTGGCCTTGGCATTGATTTGTTCGACAAGAATCAGCCACCTATTCTCTCTGCCATCAATAGGCTACAAAATGCTCTATTCATTTAAAGGCATTTTGCAGAGATTTGGGAATTATAAAATGAAAGTGTCAGTTCTGTGTCCAGTTAAGGGTTGTATCTTTGTAATGTGACAGATTAAACACAGCTGTGGATTATCAGGGTTTAATTAACAGTTTCATCAGCAATGGACAGAACCTCACAAATCCCTTTATATAATTTATATTTCTTATCAAGGTCTGGTTAGTAGAGATTATTGATGCATGGATACAAACTACATGAACACCATGGTATTAATATTAGATGGACTTTCAGGCAGTTTTTAAGAAGTGTTCCAAATGAGTATATTGAATGACTTTCTGACAGAGAAACCAGTCCTGTAGACAGAACCCACCAGGTTGCTAAGCTGAAGGGGAACGAAAAACTGTTTTATGGGCATCCAGTCAGAGGCTGACGGGGAGTAAGAACTACATGAGGTGGACGGCCAATCAAAGGTTAGAAGGGCGCCCAAGCTGTTCTCTGAGGGTTGCCATTCTTGCTCTGTGCACAGTAGAGAGGTGCTCGAGGAGGGAAGCTTGAGGGAAAGAAAACCTTGGCCAAAACAACTACTACTTCAGTATTCACAGTGACTGCAGAACTACTGGCCGCTGCTGACAACTGGGGATTTTTACTGGAATTTTTGTTTTAAGAGCAGGGAGAAAATATTCTTTAAAGAGGAGATTGAGCCATAGCGTTTGGCGAGAGAACAGGCCTGAAGCACTGAGAAGTGCTACTCAGGCAGAATCATGCTAGTATAGCAGTTGCCATTAAAGCCTTTACAGTTTGCAAGTTAAGAGTTACATAATTACCCAGTTGCAAGGAGTTAGCTTTACATGGTTTAGGGAATGCCGTGTTAACGTTCATTAAGGAAAAGGTAAAAAAACTGTAATGATTTTAATAGTGATTATTCTACTGAAAAGGATCATGGGCATTTCCCGCATCCTACGATTAGCCTAACATCACATCTCACACAGCACTAGTGGGATTTGTCTACCATTTTTTACAAATTTTATTTTGTTTTTAAAATCCTGCTGTTACCACCACAAATACAAATAAATGAATGTCACACTTTTGCAAATCCTCATTGACAAGAGTTTCCATTACCCACCACTGTAAATGTGGGACAATCCCAATATTTTAGGGTCTTACTCGTCTCCTGTCCATATGGAATAGAGGCTCACACATGTCTTTTGGGAGCTATGACATGATTCAGTCACACATTGATGCAGTGTCATGACGTGAAGATACAGTCATCACAACTGGGCCACAGTTACTTTCATCTCACAAGGCAAACACAAATACGCTAGGTGACATCACTACTGTTCTTTCTGTCTAAACTACAACTGAACTGTATAGAAGAGGGAGGGAATGGCTGGCTCAGCGATTGAATGTAGCTTTCTGATAGCTTGTGGGTGAGTTTGAGTTTGGAGAGCTGAGTCCAGTTCTCATTAACTAGGTGCCCATGACACCAGTTGGCAGTAATTAGCACCCTCTCCATAAAAAGGCCAGAGTCTGAATGGGGCATGACCAAAGAATGCTCTCATTCTACAGAGATGTCTGAAGATCAGAGTGGAGGTACGTTGGCAGAGTAGTACAGGGTGAACTGAAGTTTTGTTGGCTGTTGTATCTCTTCTGTAGTTAAAGAATGATATTCAGTCTCCACTGTGGTCAAGCTCAACATTTCATAATCACCAAGAAATTCATGGGCAAAACATAAGACACATACTTTTGCTTTCTATATGCTTTTACAGTCTTTGAAACCCTTCAGAGAAAATACTCTTCTCTAGCAATACAAGACCTTGTTAGAGTAAGTTATCGGTTTAACTCAAAGTCTTATATTTATTAGTAGCATCTCACCAACTTCGCTGCTGTTTCTTGTTTATTATCTTCAGTTTCTTCCCTTCCCTATTTTGAAGGCTCCTGTTAAGGAAAGAGGTCCCACAATGAGAGCCTAAGCCAAGAAAGAAAATATAGTCCGTCTGGTGACTAATGCTTAGTAATGCAGTGATTAAAAAGCTTAAAATATAAATAAGTCAATCCAGAAAAGAACTTACTTTAATGTGCTGAGTTGGGAAGGAGGACAAAGAAATAAGTGCAGGGAGAGAGAGTTTTTGAAAAGTGAATATTAATTTTAGAAGTGTTGGTCCAGATTCATTACTTTGGGCTGACTGTGTTTTGCTGTTTTAATGATGCAAAGCAGCACTACACCTGGTTTACCCAGCAAGTTAAACTTTGCATCACTAGATGTACTTTTAAAAGCACATTTCTGAAAATGTTTCTTTGTGACACATGGCATAACAGCGCATAGAGAAAATTGGGGGAAAACTTTGTTTCCACAAGCACTCTTGTCATTTTCTTTTCCCTTTTCAATTCCACCCCTCCCCCCCCCCCCACCACACACACTCCACTACTTACAGTGGGGGCGGAATAAATCAGGTACCAAAGACAACTAAAAATATTAGGTGGTGCCTTATTTTATAGTTGGAATAATAACCACGTTAGCCACAAGTCAGGAAGCCCAAGAAAGAAAAGGTTGGCAATTCTTTTGGAAATAATATAACTTTCAAACCAGAATGATCCTGTGGGGTGGGGATTAGAGGTTTGTATGTATGAGTATGATAGAGAGCGAGCTTGATACTAGATCACTATCATTGAACTCAATGTTTTTTCTTCAAGGGCAGTGCTAATGTAATTATGGTGGAGCCTCTGAGTAAGGCTAAAAAGAGGGGTTTTTTTCCTGAGCCATAGTGAAATGATGGAGAGGCTCCCATTGCTAACTCATATTTTCTTATCAGTTACTGATTTGTTCATCTCATTTGCAGGTAGATCAAAAAGGTGATAGTACAAATGCCTTTTTATAGGTGGCATCTGATTACATATTAGGCTGTATCAACAAGCTTTTTTATATATAATTAGTCACTGTTTTTAATATAGTCAAAAGTGCACTTTGCTTAAACTCAGACTTGAGCTAAGCTTGCTGCAATATATTGTATATTACTGTATAGCAAACGCACAAGACGACTAGGACCCCAGCCTCTATTTTTAAACGGGGAAGAGTAAAGAAATCATAAAAGGTGGGTGGTGTTTTGTATTCCCACTGCCACTTTACTAAAGTTTTGATCTGTCAGTTTCCTTGTTGGTGTTCAATTTTAGATCAAATTTAGGGATTTGCAACCTAAGATATTTCCTGCTTGACGACTGGGGCCTGTAGATGCTGCTCCAAAGACATGGTGGTGTGGTTTGGGCTGGTGGACTCCCCAGAATCTGTCCGCTGAAAAGGTTGGGAACTCCCCGCATAGCAGGACTTGGGGCAGGAAGCTAGTAGTCATTTTATAACAATGCTTGAGTTAAACTTTCTCCTCCCCTGCCTGCTTCAGGCCTTATACTCCCCTCACCCTGTGCAGTCTGATTAGAGGTCCTCCTTCAAGCCAGCTCCTCAGGGGAGGATGTAAGGAAAACCTTGCCTCTTTTAACAAGTGTCTCAGCCTAGCACTTGAGATTGTGCCTGTCCATCCCCTCATACTGCTCTTGTTTCTGGCACAGAACTCAGAGGAGCACCCACAGCCCCAGTATCTAGAATCCCAAACTAGGGCTAAAATTAAACACTAAAAATCTTCCCCTCCCTCCCCCCCAGTGGGAATTTATTTGCGAGTGATGAGCAGTGCAGCCTAGCAGCTCCCCCAGCTCTTACGGCACTCTTACTATCTCAGTCAGGATGTTTCTGGGAGCTCCTAGGGTGTGAATGCCAAGTGAAGGAGCCATGCTATCCTTTGAAAGTGTACAGAATACCTGTACCTGTACTCCACTGGCCAGTGCAGAAGGACCCTCTCCCTTATCATTCCCTTTCAGGGTGTCTAACAGCACTGTGGGCACTAGACAATGCCAAGCTTTATGGGCAGGGAACACAAGGGCAGACGTTGCAGCTGCTCCTTTGTCTCTGGACAGGAAGGAAGGAAGCACATTCCACCCAGTGTCCTATCACCATTTCTGAAGCACTAGTGCAAGGCCAGCCACTACCTAGTCCCCCCCTTGAAATTTAAAAGAAGGGGGGAGGGGAGGGCTAAGGCCTAAAGAGGGATGTGGAGGGAGAGTGGCACTCAAATTTCACAACAGGGAACCAGTATTGACATGGTCTGTCAGGATAGGTTCCACAAAAGCACCCTGTGGAAAATGTCTCAGAACGATATCAGTTTCAGTGAAGAGCTTAAGGCAGGTTTGGCCAAATTTTGTGATGTCAAGGGTTGCTGCTGTTTAAAATAGTAATGGAGATAGATTCCCCTGCCTCATAGGGGTGTTGTGAGGAGAGATTCACAAGTGGTGGTGTGTTACTTGGATATTACCGAGAGCAGCACCACAGCCATGGCTATAAATAAACTAACCTTCTTGTCTTCTAATTGTGCCTTTGGATTCTCAAAAATTGGCTTGTTTTTAGCTTAGTGGCAAGTTCATCACAGTAAATATTTTAAGAACAGGGGTGGCCCCTCAGGGTGTTATAATGAACTTCTCACTGAAGAGTGTTGCTAATGCTGAACACTCCTGATCACAAAAGCAGGGGGACAGGGGGCAGCTTTTATACCGTTTCTGTCAGAGCATCTTTGCAACATAGGGGTTTTGGCAACAGGCCATACTTTAGGGGATGCTACAATATGAATATGACCCAGTTCAATTCACTTAACATATCTCTAGGGAAAGCTGAATTTTTTTACAATTCTGCTGCATGATAGAAAGGAGGCTAAAGCTGACAAAACTAGGGAGATGTGTATTTCACATATCCGGGTGTCACTAGAAGTCTTTCAGGGCCAGATAATCTTCATGCCAAGTACAAAGTGGTATTTTTAGTGAATGGGCACCCATTACTACTTAAACAAGTCAATTTTCCAAAGACTTCAGGTATCAAGTCAGAGCACCATTTGGAAGCATGGTACAGGGATCCTAGAATTTGAAAAAGTTACCTCATGCATCATTTTGTGTCACATTTGTAGAAATCCAGGTGATTTCTTTTAAAACAAAAGAGATTGGATTCTATAATCTGTACATATGCTGTAGCTGTCAGGTTGGTTTTTTAATAAACACATACTACTTGTTTTGCTTCAAATCTGGGGGTTTACTTTAACGTAAACCAAGGTAAAAATAAGTTTGTACAGCCTTTGATTATGAAATGACTGTTAAAGTATATATTGCATTAAAATTGAGTGCTGTTTATGTATTTAACATAGAGATGTATGTTTTTGCATTGTTAAAGAAATGATCTATGCTTTCCTCCTTTTTGGATTTGTGCTCCAAGATTGTCAAATAGCTTTCATACTCTAATTTTACTTGGAGTAAAGTTCAAACAATTTGCTTATGATTCTGATTCCTTTTCATTTCTTGATCTGTTACTTCCTCTGATGTCAGAGTATCCTCATTTGGGTCAAGCAAGTAAAATAACATCTCCAATAGAGCAGCAGAGTGTCCTGGGGCACCTTATAGACTAACCGATGTTTTGGACCATGAGCTGTCATGGGTGAATACCCACTTTGTCAGATGCATCTCCAATAGAGTATAACTCAGGCTAGGTCTACACTGGGGGGGAGGGGGTCGCTTTAAGATCGCACATGCACTAGGTGAATAGCGTAGCTGGATTCGACGTATGCGATCCAACTTACCCTGCCGTGAGGACGGCGGCAAATGAACCACCGCGGCTCCCCCATCAACGGCGCTTACTCCTACCTTGGCTGGTGGAGTACGCGTGTCAATTCAGGGATTGATTGTCACGTCCCAACGAGACGCCATAATTCAATCCCCGAGAGATCGATTTCTACCCGCTGATCCAGGCAGGTACTGAAGACAAGCCCTTAGACACTTACGATTGCTTTCCAGCTAAGGGTGTGATCCTGCCAGATGCAAATACCTAATTTGAAGTCAACGAGAACCTAAAGCACTGCACAGGCCTCAGAAAAGCTTTCAAGAGCAGCTCTGTACCCTCAAAGCCCCCAGGAGTTGTGAACATGAAAGCATAGGGGACAACTTATTTATTTTGTTCACCCTAAAGATAAAACCATTTTTCCTCCTGTTAAAAAGTCAATGTATAAAAAATAGCCCACCATTCTTCTTCCCTTACTATCAGGGCCAGCTCAATGGCTTTGAAGAGCTGCTGTAGCTATTGACCCCACCCATCTGACAAACCACAAGAAGAATTCTTCCAAAGCTGTGAAAACATTCTTTAACTAGCAATGTTTTGCTAAGAATTTGCAATAACATCTCACTTGAAACTCCACAATAATTGAACTTAAGTCATGATAAATACAAAGTCTGAACCACTCCCTAAGCCAACAGGGAGGCTCAGTAGAGTCATTATCCTCAGAGTTAGATGTCCAGTCTCCAGCAAAGTGTCCCACCCACATTACTCAAAGCACATAAGTGAGCAGACAATAAGTTATCATTTTTCTGCACAATACTTCTTCTAAGCCTCAATGTGGAGTAGTGGAGGACAATGATTTAGAGGGTGAAAGGGCCTTAGAAGATCCTCCTTTGGAGGCTGTTTACTGGAACACTCGCCTCTCAAAAGAAGGCATCTGTGGGTGCCTGAAAATCCCAGGCCACACTTAGCACCTCTTTTTGCAGTTCTGATGCTAACACACTCTGTGCCCAGAATGTGAGAATCACTCTTGGATGGTGGTGAGTTTTGTTGCTTTTTAGAATAGGTTTTGCCTGAAGTGCTATGGGCCTCCAATGGGCAGCATCGCATCCATGTTGCAATGGAGGATAATTATATTTTCTTACACATTTACGCTAAGGAACAATGCTGAAGTGCTCTAAGTTGCAGAGAGTAGCTTAGGTTATTTTGGGAGCTTTTGAACTTCTACAGCACACAAAATATTTCATGTGCATGTTCCATGTGAGAACAAAAGGAGAACAGTACTATTTCTTGAGATTTGTGAAAAGACACGTTGACTTTAGATATAAATGTTGGTACTGTGAGTACTACACAAGCCAGCTTCAACTGACTGGAAATACAAATCTAGATTAGAGGTTCAAACAGTGCCAAGGTGAAGACAGGAAGAATCAAGTTAAGATCTCACCTGAGAAAATAGGATATCATGGAGATTGAGCTTGACTGACCTCTGGAATCAGATTATGTGATGCTCAGAATAAGGAAGTAATTATTGAGGATACTACTTAGGGCTGAGATTTACATCAAGAAGACTGAAGTGTTTAAATGCTTGTTTTGCTTCAGTCTTCACTAAAAAGGTTAACAGTGACCAGATATGCAACACAATATTAGCAACGGGGGAGGGGGGGGAGGAATACATGTGAAAGTTAGATATGTTAGATGTATTCAAGACAGCAGGGCCTGATGAAATTTGCCTTAGGGTATTTAAGGAACTAGCTGAAGCAATCTCAGAACCATTAGCAATTGCCTTTGAGAACTCAGAGGATGGATGAGGTCCCAAAGGACTGGAGAAGGGCAAACATAGTACTTATCTTTAAAAAGGGGAACAAAGAGGAATTCCAGTCTGCCTAACTTCAATATCTGGAAAGATAATGGAACTAATTATTAAACAATTTGTTGGCACTTAGAGGATAAGAGGATTATAAGGAATAGCCAGCATGGATTTGTCAAGAACAAACCAAACTAAATTTCCTTCTTTGACAGAGTTACTAGCCTAGTGGATAGTGGGAAAGTAGTAGACATGATTATCTTGATTTTAGTATGGCTTTTGAGATGGTCTCACGTGATATTCTCATAAGCAAACTTGGAAAATGCCATCTAGATGAAATTACTATAAGGTGGGTGCACAACTGATTCAAAGACTATACTCAAAAGACTAGTTATCAATGGTTCATTATCAAACTGAGATGGCATAGCTAATAGGGCCCCACAGGGGTCAGTCTTGGGTCCAGTACTATTCAATATTTTCATTAATGACTTGGATAAAGGAGTGGAGAGTGTGCTTATTAAATTTTCAGATGACACAGATGGGTGGGGTTGCAAGCACTTTGGAGGATGGGATTAGAAATCAAAAGGATCTTGACAAATTGGAGAATTGGTCTGAATGCAAGAAGATGAAATTCAATAAAGATAAGTGTAGAGTACTTCACATAGGAAGGAAAAATCAAATGCACAAAAACAAAATGGGGAATACTGGCTAGGTGGCAGCACTGCTGACAAGGCTCTGGGGGGGTAATTCGGGAATCACAAATGGAATGAGAGTCAACAAAGTGATACAGCTGCAAAAAAAAGTTATCATTCTGGGGTGTATTAACAGGAATGTTGTATACAAGATATGGGAGATAATTGTCCCGCTCTACCTGGTACTGTTCTGGCCTCAGCTGGAGGAGTGTGTCCAATTCTGCATGCCAGACTAGGAAAGGTGTGAACAAATTGGAGAGTCCAGAGGAGAGCAACAAAAATGATAAAAAGTTTAGAAAACCTGATCTATGGAGAAAGGTTAGAAAGACTGGGCATGTTTAGTTCTGCCCCTTGTTTTCTCAGGGTGGAGATTGGAGGGGGGAGGGGAGGGGCAGACCAGATAACAGTCACCAAATATGTTGATGGCTGTTATAAAGAGGATGGTGGGCACTGAAGGTAGGACAAAAAGTAATGGGCTTAATCTGTAGCAAGGGAGATTTCAATTAGATATTAGGAACTTTCTAACTACAGTAAAAGCTGTTTTATCTGGCATGTGGGGATATGTGGTGGTGCCAGTATGTGAAAAATGCTGGTTAACTAAGAGGGAGGGAGTAGGGGGTGCAGGGCACAGGCTCTGGGAGGGAGGTTGAGTGCAGGAGGGGGCTCAGAGCAGAGGCTCGGGGCATGGGAGGGGGTGGGGGGGGGGTGCCAGCTCAGGGGGCTGCTCACCTCTGGAGGCTCGCTGCAAGCAGGCACCATCCCCACAGCTTCCATTGGCCATGGTTCCCAGCCAATGAGAGCTGCGTTGCTAGTGCTCAGGGTAGGGTGGGGTGGGGTGGGGGCAGCACGCAGAGCCGCTTGCCATGCCCCCACTTAGGAGCACCCCCTCCTGCACTCCAACCCACTGCTGCCCCGCACCAACCCGATTATAAACTGGAATTTCAATGATGATCAGAAATACTAGTTTATAGAGCTTTCCGGTTGGTGAAGTGCCAGATAAAACAGCTTTTACTGTATATGGAGTATACAGGCTCTGGAGCAGGCTACCAAGAGAGGTAGCCATAATTGGAGGTCTTTAAGAATACCTGTCAGGGATGGTCTAGGTCAGTGGTCCCCAACCTTTTTTGTCTGGCGGGCACCAGACGACAAGCCACCGTGGACCGTGGCTGGCAGATGAGCATCCACCGAAATGCCACCGAGAAGTGGTGACGTCAATAGGCGTCGCCGCCGAAATGCCAACAAGCAGCATCATCCAGAGGCGTCACCGCCGAAATGCTGATTTTCGGCAGCATTTTGGCAGCAACGCCTCTGGATGATTATGCTTGTCGGCAGCATTTTGGCAGATGCTTGTCCGCTGGCCAGTGCGCAGGCGCACATAGATGCCCCAGTGGGCGCACATAGATGCCCCGGCAGGCACCATGTTGGGGACCACTGTTCTAGGTTTACTCAGCCCTGCCTCATCGCAGGGGGCTGGGACTTGACCTCTTGCAGTCCTTGCCAGCCCTGCATTTCTATGATCTTCCAGAACTGAATCCTGTATTAAACTGAAGACCATCCTGGAGGAATTAGAGTATGGCTGGTATTCCTGCTTCCCATGTCCCTATGACTTGTGATAAATCATTTTCTCTTGCACATTGTTATGCTGTAGAATCATTTCTGGAAGACACTGATGATCTAGTGACTTGAATGACTAGATTCTGCTAGGATTTACCTCCAAGTTTCTACACTGATAGATTTGAGAAGTCAAGACTGGGGTGTAACATGACACAGTAAGTCCAGTCTCAGGTTTGGGCAGTGCAATCTCTGCTGTGTCGGAGAAATCAGGGGAAGGGGGATTAAATGCTCTGAAGAATAATGCTACTTTCTCTCACTCATGTGTGGTTTTGGTTTGGTTTTTAAACTCATGAATTCAAGGCATTGAAAGATGTTAAGAACCATGGTGTGTGTAACAAGTTCTTACCTCTCAGGACTCTGCTGCTTCAGTTTCCCTACTGCTTTTCATCGGTCTAGGCCTTTCTCCCAGGCGGACAGGCCACTGTCTGTGTCCAGTGAGTCACAGCATTGAGGTGGAAATTCACCTTTCCAGAATGTAAAATAATGGAAATTCAAATAAACAGTCTTTCACCTCCTACTCTTTTCAGAGCATAGCTCTGCCTCTATGGGTCTGTTCTCTTAAATGGAGACTTTAGCCCTTCTGTGGGCCTCAGCTTCCAGACCTCCTGGGCTCCAAACAC